GAAAATCTTTCCAGTTTCCTTATCTCAAACAGGTTTTCCCTCAGGTATAAATGGCCAGAACTACAGTATATGTCTATTGTTCACTGGTAACCAAACATTGACAAGATTGGAATTACCACGTTCATCATTATCATTCACCACCTGTGCTGAGGCTTGCCTATCTTGAAACACAAAGGAAGGAAACTGAATGGGGTTCTGTCAGAAAAAAGGAACGAGGTTGGGAAAGGTAAGTAAAAGATCAAAGCAGATATTCACACACTAAAAAGAGAAATGGAAAATACTTGCATTATAATCACATATTAACAATAAATAAGAGTGATTATGTCTGATTTTATACTATATAGTTCAGATTTCATGTTGGTTGAATAGACCATGCCATCCATTTTCATACCTAATTATATGCTGCTTCTTATCATTCTTTGAATATTTCCTATCTTATTTCCTTAACTGGGCTGCAAACTTCTTGAAAATTAAAAATCTATCTTTTACATATTCTTCAATGCTACCAATCTAAGAAAGAGCAAACATCAATAAATACTTATGAAAAGCTAACATTTATTTCCTATAATAAATAATCTCCCTTCTCATTAAACCTGGCAGATTGAACACAAATATTCATCTCTGCTCTTTTCCAAAACCCTACTAAATGACAACAAAGAACTTTAGAAAGTATAAATTCACAAGAATAATGAGAACAGAATAGAACACATCAACTAACCAAAAAAAAAACCCAACATTTTAGAAGCTGGAAAGAGTATGGAAATGTTGTAACTGACTCAGCAAACCAAAGAAAGCTAAAATGTAAGCCTACAGAAGGGGTGTATGGCTGGGGAGAGTGGCAATGAGAAGCAAGCCACAGACAGAACACTACTTAAAAGGACTAAGCAACTGAAGGTACCAGCTACCAGGTAACCAGATGGAAGTGTATGGTGGGGCAAAAAGCAGAAGGATTGGTTGGAAATTTATGTAATGAACAGGTAGTCTACCAGATCCCCTCTATACTTTCCCAAGCAACTACCCTGTTCCATCACTGCACAAGGCAATACTATAGAAGACAGCCTCTGGAGAGGCTAGAGAAGCTAAGGATCCCAGACATCAAGCACAGCTAAGGGCAGGGATCAGTTACCATACCACAACTAGGAAGATTAAGCCTGGACAATAAATATCTGAATGGTGGTAAACCTGCTTGCCTTCTCACCTACTTTCCTTTCCCTGGCTTAAAAGGCTGGTCACAGAATTCATAATATATTCACCCCTTCAATCTCCCCACCCCAATCCCTGTCACAACTATCACCTCTGAAAAAATAAACACACCACCACAGGTAGGAGATGGAGGGTTGCTCTTTCTTAAAACTGAACAGCTAACGAGACCTAGAGTTACTGATATCTAGTGGTTCTCCCATTAAAATAGATTCTCATCTATTACCCCTCCAGACAGCAAAGCCCCTGCTCTAACCTGCTACTCACATACCCACACACAAACACATTTACACACATACCTTCCAATCAGCCAGTCAAGAAAAGCCTGTAATACTATATGCTGAAACAGAAGAAAGAGAGAGAAGAAAGGAAAAAGGGACTTGGGAAAAACAGGACAAAGAAGCAGAAGAAAACTTAAGAAAAAAAAATAGAAAGATGTTATGATACTGCATCCACAAAATGAAAACAGAATTCTCTTTAAAAAGAGAGGCCAGGCATGGTTGTTCATGTCTGTAACCCTAGCACTTTGAGAGGCCAATGCAAGAGAATCACTTAAGGCCAGGGCTTTGAGATGAGATGGGACTGGGCAGCATAGTGAAACCCCGTCTCTACAAAAATATTTAAAAATTAGCTGGACATGGTAGAACACATCTGAAGTCTTAGCTATTCAGGAAGCTGAGATGGGATGATTGCTTTAGCTCAGGAGTATAACATCACTGTGAGCTATGATTGCACCACTGCACTCCAGCCTGGGCAACAGAGTGAGACTGTGTCTCCATTTAAAATAAAAAGAGAGAGAGACACGACAAATGCATGAGATAAAAAATAACCTAGAAAAGGTATGATTCTGGTTATTCCATCCAGCTGGTATGTGGATGTAATGGCTGGTGCTGGAGTAGCCATCTTACACACAAAGTAGAACCAAGCTGAGGATGGGAGAGCAAGATGAAAAGAGCCTGGGTCTTTGATGATTGCTGAGCAGCCACTGTACCCCTTAACTACCTCTGTAGTAGTTGCTATGAGATTAAAAACAAAAGCAAAACAAAAACAAAAAAACCTCTGTCTTATTTAATATATGATTTTTTAGTTTTCTGCCTCTTGTACCTTAACCATACAACTAATACAGTATGCGCTACACAGTAAGTTTTTCCCCAAATCCCTACAATAAAAAACAAAGAAAATTATGTTCCAGGCTTACTATCTTGTCATTCCTATTAACAATCCTTAAGTCTATCTTACATTAGCCAAGAAAGCTGAATATTAACACTTCAAATTTCAGGATTACATTCTAATCAAGTTTATCATGTGTAATAAAATGAAGGACCTATGGAATACAGCTCCAGGTGTCCACAGCACACTACTCTCATTGTTTTCAGATGTTGCAGAATCACTCCACTAAGGCTTATCTTCAATTTCCCGTCAGTCTGACTTTCTTCTTTTAAATTCATATTGGATGACTGATGTCCAGCATAATAAATATTTTATCTTTCTACACCTTTTCCACAAGAATAATATGCCTTTTTGAAAGTGAGGCACTGTCAGACACCTGGAGTCCAAACTTAGTTCTTAACTCTTTTGTCCAGAGTGAGCCCTGCAGCTTTTAAATGTTTTTACATTGCTGTAACGCATCTATTAAAATAAGCTATTCAATTCTGTATAAATAAAAAGTCACTTTCATAATTAAAATAGACATCCTGGAGACAGTGGAATGATCAAGGATATGGAATAAAACATAGGTCAGTATAAATTTAACTGTTTGGCTTCAGATGATATCACCTAAATTATAATTATTCTGATACTGTCTAAAAATTTCACAGTAAGTAACAATTTCATAAAGTGCCTGGCAGAGGTGGATGGACATAATTCTGGAATAATTTTCTTATGACATATGGTACAACTAATCAAATCAGTAATATAACCATTCTATCCCCATCCACCTGGCTTTTCCATTGATGACTGATTGGGTGGTACATGTAGCAAGGATCTGTGGGTACTGACAGTGGGCACTTTTTTATAGAATAAACGTAAGAAAAGGAAAATCTAAGACAGATATGCCAAACCTCAAAGGAAAAATAGGACAATAAAGGTAAGAAATGGCCTTAATTTGCTTCCGTTCATGTTAAAAAGAAACCATTTATTAAACAACTCCTTATCCATCCTTAGAAGTCACAGAATTACTTATTACTTGTAAGTAACGAAGAAAGAAATCCAGGGATGACAAAATACTGAATCTAGAATTCTAGAAAGACTTACATATTTGCATTAAAATTTTCATTTTAATATTCTCAGAACTGATTTTCTCTACTTTTAAAAGGACTTGAATTCTAGGAAGACAGATGGTATCTATGGAAGAAAAAGGTACACTCTTCCGACTTCTCTAAGCTACTGAGTTGAGTAATGAATAATGTTTATATTGAAAGGCTTAATGACCATATCCTCCGCTCCCAACCTTCAAAAGACAAAATAAATAAATGGAGGTTCTGCAGCTTAAGACTTATTCTGGGAAAGGTCTTTTTCAAGCAAAAACATCACTGATCTGTCCCTAACAAATAAGACAACGTAATCCGCCAATTAATGCTCAGCAGTCAGTAAACTTGCTATTTCAAAAAATGCCACAACCACTTTACCGACCAGGGCAGGTTCTATGCAACCTCCACTATAGTCTCTGAGATGAATTCATCTTACCTATTTCCTCAACTGACCTAAGCAGTATTTCTCAATTGTGAGCTTTCCTCAAAGGGAAGCAGTGAAGTAAGGGAATTCCCTCATATCTCACAATGATTTACTTCTTTAATATATGTACACCTAAAGAGGATACAAGTTACTGAAAGACACATACTGAAAGTTCAAAAACTTGCCATGGGGTGAAAGAAATTAAGGCAGGTACATCAGCCGAAGTTCTCTGCCTTTACATTACAGTCCATTGTCAATCAGTTTGTATCTTCATTACTAACTGCCTAAAACCTCAATATGTGCAATTAAAAATGTATAGCCTCTGCCAGGTGCAATGGCTCACACCTGTAATCCCAACACTTTGGGAGGCCAAAACAGGAGGACAGCTTGAGGCCAGGAGTTCAAGACCAGCCTGGGCAACAAAGCAAGAACCTGTCTCTCCAAAAAATAAAAATAAGTTAGCCAGGCATGGTGGTGTGTAGATAGCCTGAGCCCAGAAGTTTGAGGCTGCAGTGGGCTATGATCATGCCACTGCACTCCAGCCTGGGCAACAGAGCAATACCTTGTCTCTTAAACAAACAAACAACAAAGTATAGACTCTATTCCCATATCCCTTCCTAGAACAAAGGAATATATGTGAGGTATATATGTAGAACAGAAAAACCAGCTAAAAAATGCATAATGTTACTAAATCAGTAGGAGCTAGGTGTCTCAGCAAAACTTCTTATCTAGGCCGGGCGCTGTGGCTCACGCCTGTAATCCCAGCACTTTGGGAGGCCGAGGCAGGCGGATCACGAGGTCAAGAGATCGAGATCATCCTGGCCAACATGGTGAAACCCCGTCTCTACTAAAAATACAAAAAAATTAGCTGGGCGTGGTGGTGTGCGCCTGTAGTTCCAGCTACTCAGGAGGCTGAGGCAGGAGAATTGCTTGAACCCGGGAGAGAGAGGTTGCAGTGAGCCGAGGTTGCGCCACTGCAGTCCAGCCTGGCACTTGGTGACAGAGTGAGACTCTGTCTCAAAAAAAAAAAAACTTCTTATCTAATACTTTAAGTTTAGCTGAAATGAACAACCAATATAAATCAGACTATGTAACTATTTCTTGCGGTAGTAAATGAAATAGCTTACCTTCTCAATATTTATTTGGTGCTTTCTTAACCTCTCCAGGTCTGTTGGGATTACTATCTTAATGAATTTCTGAATAGCTGGTTCTAGACGGCGTAATTTCACTTTTTCTTCATCTTCAGACATCCTAAAAAAGTGTTGTATGACTTCCCTGGTAATAGCTGTCTTCTCCACTCACATAGAAAAATCTAAAAGAAAAATATTTCTTTAAGAATGTTTTAAAATCAGTTTCTATTATTTTTAAAAGCCAACAATTAGTTTTACAATTTATTATAAATATGTATCAACTTAATGCTGAGCTTGAGTGACTTGTTTTTTTCTTTATGAAACCACTGATTTTTAAATCTTTTTCCCTTTACAAAAATTATGTGTATTTTAGAATACTCAGAACAATATAAATAAATGAAGAATAAAATAAAGTCAACAGTCATCTACTCACCTTTTACAAAGAGTACAAAATGAACTATTTACATTTTGGCATATGTCTCTCCAGGACTTTTTCTATGTAAGTATGTATGTATATATATAAATACTTAAAAAAAAAAAGGAATATTGTCCAAGTTTTAATTTTCTGATCTATCTTGGACATTGAATAACTTTTTCTAAAAAGGTGTCAAATGACTTAACATTGATGCTTGTATTAAACTTCACATCTAATGTCATCATAATGTAACTCTGTAATTACACAACTTCAAATATAACATAATACGCAACTCTTCTCATTGATTTAAATTGCCTCTTCCATTTTCAATAAAGTGTTTAGTACTGCCTACAACTGATTCAAATAACCAGTGACAGAGCTGGAATAAGAACTCATGTTTTCTGAAATTACATTGAAATACTTTTTCCACTTCACCCATAGTTTGCTACCAGCATTCCAAAAAGTCCAAGGGTATGTATTTGGGGCCAGAGTACAAGGGTGGGGGCTGGAGGGGAGCAGGTTTCAGGATCCCACCCCCTAATTCAATTGCAGAAACTTTACTTACAACTATTTTATGAATTGGAGCTTGTCAGAGCTTATATAAATAATGGGCTTCACAGCTTAACCAAGCTTGAAAGCCACCATTGTACACCATGCTTTCATGCCATTTCATTAGGTACAGCCTCTCCCATGTTTTAAAAAATTTTGAGTATGTTAATACTGCTGAGTTATGCTGTCTTAGTCCAGGGTCCATAGAGATAGGAATTCACATACAGACTTTGTGGAGCCCCTGACTCTTTATAAAAAATTGTGAACGAAGGGGCTGGGTACAGTGGCTCGCATCTGTAATCCCAGCTACTCCGGAGGCCAAGGTGGGAGGACTGCTTGAGCCCAGCAGTTCAAGACCAGCCTGGGCAACGTGCCAAAATCCCATCTCTACCAAAAGAGGAAAAAAAAAGTTAATGTAGTTTATTTTAGAGAATAGAGTCCATTGTTTGAAGAGATTCTCAGAGATCTATCATCCCCAAAACATTAAATATTTATCCCTTTTTTTAACAGTTGAAAATCTTGACATGCTGGTTATAAAGACTGCCTCCAATGCCTATCCATTAGTAACCTGATTTTTTTGTTTGATGCAAGCTCAAAAGTAAAAAAGGAAAATCTCCAGGTACAAAAACAAAGAGGGTAAAACACGTGCAACAGTGAATGGGAACTGGAGACATATGGAGAAATTCATTACCAAAAGAGACCATCCACAGACCCAACAAAACAGGTAAATTCATAGCTAATGGACTAAAGATAATAATTTTAAAAAGAAATTAAAGTAAGTATGTTTTTAAATACCCAAAGGCATAAAGGAAAGAATGGAATCTTTAAAAATAGATATTATGAAACAATAAAAGGCCAATCTGAATATAAACCAAGTAAAACTTCTAAAAATGAAAATTTCAAAAGATGTGTTAAACAGTAAACTATATAGCTAAGAGACAATTACTGATTGGAAGAAATCACTCAGAACACAGAGGAATAAAAAGATGGAAAGTATAAAAAAGAAGATAAAAGATATAAAGGATAAAATGAGAAGCTCAATAACAAGTAGTAGTCCCAGAAAGAAAGAGCAAAGAAAATGATAAACAGGAATTATTCAAAGAGAATATACTGAGAATAAAAAAGTGAGACCTCAAACTAAAAAAGCACATCAGCCTCAAGTAGCATAAATTGAAAAAAAAAATTGCCTAAATACATAGAAGGAAATTACAAAACATTAAAGAAAAAGAATCATAAAATACAAATGAGAGATAAAAGACAGATAAAGCAATAATATCTTGCTTTTAACAGCAAGATATTAAAAGACAGAAATACCTTCAAAGTGCTGAGAGAGTTAGTATATACCCAGGTAAATTATCATTAAGAATGAAAGCAAAATAATCATTTTCAGACATACAAAGACTAAGAGAGTTTATTACCAAGCCCCTCATTAAAAGAGCTACTAAAAGGAATATTTTAACAATAAAGAAAATAAACCCAAAGGAGCAGAATAGCAAGGAGCAATGAACAGAATAAACTGTTGTCAGATAGAATAAATGGGTGGATGAAACAACAAAGAAAATAAAACATTTATTTTGAATAGTGTGATGAAGTATAATAAAAAGTTTCCACATAAATAATTTTCTATAATTATGTAGATGCTTCATAATTTTACAAATTGGCTACTGTTGGCTATTTAGGTTGTTTCCAATTGTCCTCTGTTACAAACTACAGTGTAAGTACACTGCTTATACATAAATCCATACTGTCACCTATAATTATTTCCTTAAAACAATCAACAAAGATACAGCCTGTATAAAGGGAAAAAATATTTGCAAACTAATCATCCAACAAGGAACTAATACCTAGAATGTATAAGAAACTGAAGCAATTCAACAGCAAAGAAACAAATAGTTTCATTAAAAAATTGGCAAAGAAGCTGAATAGACATTTCTCAAAAGAAGACATACAAATGACCTAAAAGTATTTTTTTAAATGCTCAACATCATTAGTCATCAAGGAAATGCAAATCAAACCACAATGAGATAACATCTCACCCCAGTTAGAATGGCTACCACCAAAAGGATAAAAAAAAATAACAAATGCTAGTGAGGGTGAGGATGTAGAAAAAAACGACTTTTTAAAATTTTGGATACAGAGTATTGTTCTTGTTGCTCAGGATGGAGTGCTGTGGCGTGATCTCGGCTCACTGCAACCTCTGCTTCCTGGGTTCAAGCAATTCTCCTGCTTCAGCCTCCCGAGTAGCTGGGATTACAGGTGTGTGCCACCACGCCCAGCTAATTTTTGTATTTTTAGTAGAGACACAGTTTCACCAAGTTGGCCAAGCTGGTCTTAAACTTCTGACCTGGGGTGATCTGCTCGCCTTGTGCTGGGATTACAGGCGTGAGCCACGGCGCCCAGTGAGAAACAAGGCTCTTACACATTGTTGGTGGGAATGGAAATTAGTACACCCACTGTGAAAAACAGTATGAGCTGGGTACAGTGGCTCACAGCCGTAATTCCAGCACTTTAGGAGTCTGAGGCAGGTGGATCATTTGAGGCCAGGAATTTGAGGGTAGCCTGGGCAACAAGCAAGACTCTGCTTCTCTGAAAAAATTAAAAACTAGCTGGGTATGGTGATGTGTGCCTATAGTTCCAGCTACTTGTTAGGCTGAGGTGGGAAGATCCCTTGAGCCCCCAAGTGTGAGCCTGCAGGAAGCTGTGTTCTTACTACTATACTACAGCCTGGGCAACATAGTGAAATCCTGTCTCAAAAAAAAGAAAGAAAAACTGTACAGAAGCTTCTCAAAAAATTAAAAATAGAACTACCATATGATCCAGCAATACCACTACTAGCTATTTATCCAAAGGAAAGAAAATCAGTATATTAAGGAAATACCTGCAGGCCTATTCAAAGCAGCACTATTCACAATACCCAAGATATGGAATCAACCTAAGTGTCTGTCAACGAATGTATGGAAAAAGAAAATGTGGTATATATACACAATGAAATATTGTTCAGCCATTAAAAAAAGAAGGAAATCCTGCCATTTACAGGCAACATGGATGGAACACCTGGCCTGTACTCCCAGCTAGTAGGAAGATCACTTGAGCCCAGAAGTTAGAAGCCAGCCTGAACAACATAGTGAGACCCCCATTTCCAAAGAAAAAAGAAAAAAAAATGTTAATCTCCTGGAGGTAGAGAGTAGAATGATTGGAAGGGCAGGAGGGATGAAGAGAAGTTGGTTAATGGGCACAAACATACAGTTAGATAGAAGGGATACATTTCTCATGTTTGATAACACAGTGGGGTGACTATAGTTAACAATAATTTATTGCATATTTCAAAATAGTTACAAGAGAGGATCTGAAGTGCTCCTAACACAAAGAAATAATAAATGTTTGAGGTGATACATATCCCAAATGCCCTGATTTGATCATTACACATTGTATGGATGTATCAAAATATCACATGCATCCTATAAATATGTAAAATTCTTGTGTATTAATTGAAAAAAGTAACATAAAAATAAAAAATAAATATCTGGATATAGGATTACTAGACAGATTTTTCAAGGCTTTTTTATATACATATTGCCATATCCCATAAAAGGTTATGCCCATTATGTTCCTACCAGAAACGTAACACAATATCTATTTATCCATATTCCAACCAATGTACTTAGTATTATCATTCTTAGACATGTCATTGGTGAAAAAAAGATGTCTCATTATTGTTTTATTTTGTATTCCTTAAATTACTAATGGTGTGGATTTATCACCCATTTGCATTTCTCTTTTTAATTTTTAATTTTTGTGGGTATATATTAATAGTAGGTACATATATTTATGGGATATGCGTTATTTTGATACAAGCATACAATGTATAATAATCACATTAAAGTAAATGAGGTATCCATAACCTCAAGCATTTATTCTTTGTGTTACAATCTAATTATACTTCTAGTTATTTTTAAATACACTACTGAATTATTATAGTAACCCTGTTCTGCTATCAAGCACTAGATTTTATTCATTCTTTCTTACTATTTTTTTGTATGCATTTCATTTCTTCTTTCATGAATTGCCTGCTCATGTCATCACATCTGTTTTACTACAGGGGATGTTTTTTTCTTATTGACTCATAGAAGGCTATTACATGTTGAATATAACAATTATTTGTTGAAAATTAACATTCCCCTATCTATCACACTGCCTCTTCTGTTTTCTTCTATACTGCGGAGAGATATCTTTATATCTACATCATTCCCATCAAAATGTTTTTTGAACATACCTGTTGTTCAATAGATGCTGCCTGAACTAAAATATTTCTTCACATGTCCCTTCTTCACCATTTCTAATTCTATCACTCTAGTCAAACAGCACAATATGCATAGCACATGACAATGGAGCTTCAATTAGTCTGCCTTTGGACTCTTTCCCTCCAAAATGGAATAAAAACATAAACTGTATTATAAACAAATAGCATAACCACACTGAAAGAAGTGAGGAAGAAAAATAATCCAAGCCACTTTAGAAAACAATATTTTAACTGAATACTATAAGGCTAGAGACAAAAAGAACCACACCATACTCTATTTAGTAAATGTGTTTCTCACAGGAATATAGGTCAGAAATTCTAAAATTACTTTATGTGCATACTAGGACTGAAGAAATAAAAAAATATTTTGTAGAATGCAAGAGCCAGATTTCTCACTGTCAGATAAAGAAGTTAAAAATAAGGGACAAAACTAGAATGAACCCTGTGGCGTTAGACTAGAAGCAAAGCTACTGGGATGAACTTGTTTTGAAAAATACATGGGGCCAGACGCAGTGGCTCACAGCTGTAATCCCAGCACTTTGGGAGGCCAAGGCTGGCAGATCATGAGGTCAGGGGATTGAGACCATCCTGGCCAGCGCGGTGAAATCCTGTCTCTACTAAAAATACAAGAATTAGCTGGGTGTAGTGGTGTGCACCTGTAGTTCCAGCTACTCAGGGAGGCCGAGGCAGGAAAATTGCTTGAATCCAGGAGGCAGAGGTTGCAGTGAGCTGAGATTGTACCACTGCACTCCAGTATGGGCGACAAAGCAAGACTCTGTCTAAAAAAAAAAAAAAAAAAAAAAAAGATAGCTATATCTATATATATGGATAGATAAATACAGAAATATAGATCTTTGTGTATGCATGGGTGTGCATATGCATAGACTGGTGTCTTCTGTGGGGCCCTGGAAGCAATGTTACCCCAGTAGCAATGAGCATCCCTAGAGCACAGATCTTTGTGCTTAAATACTATTCTCAAAAAAAAAACTACAGGTCCTTGGAGAAGTGGCTGATACCAGGGCTGAGGCAGGGAAAACACAAGATAAGCCTGGGGCATCATCAAATGATACCAGAAAATTAGGAAGTTCCAAAAAAGACAAAAAGGATGGAAATATGATGAAAAGCTACAGAAAGCAACCTGAAAAAAAGACTCCCAATGATCAAAGCTGGAACAATTTCACACATAAAATAACACAAGTGTAAGATAACAACCAAGAGAAAAATATCTGAGTCCACATCTATACAAATAAATAACAGAATATAAATAAACAAATGGGAGAAACTGGGCAGCTCATCCTTACAGATTAATTTCAATGAATAAATAATGAGTAAAGTAGAAAATCCTCATTACAACACCATAGTCATAATAATTGTTGAAGGCAAGATCCACCAATGGATGCGAAATTTAGCAAGGGAAAGTCTGAGACATAACAGGATATGTGTACAGTTTAAAAGCTTCCCCCAAGATGTCAATTAATTATAAGGAGAAAAACAAGACCTTTACATTGGAGAATTCCAGCAGACACCCTCTTACCAAATGATCAAGATCAACCTCACAAGCAATAAGTCATATATATCAGCTACGCTTATATGATGAACTGAGAAGGGCACATACACTTTTATGTTCTTAACAAAAATGTACAACCTTAATCATGAGAGAACATTGGACAAATCCCATTTGAGGGACACTCTACAAAATAACTGACCAGCACTCTGTAAAGATCAGAAAGAGTATAAAGGCAGAAAAAAACTATCACTCTAAAGACAGGAAAAGACAGAAATGTCACAGACTGGAGGAGCCCAACGACCCAAGACAACTAACCGCAATGTCGGGTCTTAAAAGTGGATCCTGGAATAGAAAAAAGACATTAATACAGGGGGAATAAAAGAAATCAGAAGAAGGTCAGGAGTTCAGCTAATAATATTATACTGACATTAATTTCTTGCTTTTGATAATTGCACTACGGTATGAACATCTTCCATCTGCCCAGAGGTCCCACTTATCGGGATACTGGTGGAGCCCAATTTCTTCCGGCCCGCCGCTTTGTGTTTCTGACTTATGGAAGAGGTACTGAATTTGAAGAGAAAAGTCAACGCCCTTAGTCGCACTGTAAGGTCTCTTCTCTGAACCTCGGATAGTTAAAAGGAGGAAGCCAGCTGTGGAACCTTCTGCAAACCACCTCTGGGTCTGGCGGGCTGGGGGCTCCGGCCTCCCGCTCCCTGTCTCCCACTCACTACCCTCGAGCGTCGCTTAATTCCTCGAAGTGTCACCCACGGGACACCTGGGCCACACACAACAAACGCGCCCACCAGCGAACGGATGCGCGGGTCCGCCCGAGACCCAGACGCCGGCGACCCTGCAGACACGGGGCCCACTGCGCGCCAGAAACAGGACGCGCGCGGGAAACTTTTCCACCCGGCGACCCCGGGAGGCCTCCCCATACCAGCTTCTCATAAAGCTTCCAAAAACGAAACCGAGAGAGGCTCCGCCACCTCTGAAAGACAGGAGCCACCATGGCACTCGCACTTCTGATCCAATACCCGACTTCCCGCCCAGCGCCTCCTGCGCGCGCCACAAGGGCGCCCAGCTCACCGAGCCTGTCACGGCCCCCAGAGGAGGCCTCCAGAGAGCCCCTTACCTCCCGCCGGGGCGCTTGAGGCCGGTCGGTGCCCACAGCGCAGGCGCAGGAGAGACGGGGCGGGGCGTCGCGAGGGGCGGGCGGGGATGTACGCCCCTCCGCCCCGCCCCACCCCGCGAGGCAGCTGGGCGGGGTGCCGGGGTCATACAGGTGAGTACAAAGGCGGACGTCACTCTGAACAGTGAATGTCTTTTTCAAAATGATTTACATTATGGGATTGTGACTCGAACCAAGAGGAGAGAGACGCACAAACGCTTTTTAGGTCTGCTTGTTGTGTTTAAGACAATTCACGCTTGTATGTCCGACTGCGTTTTGCAGTTTTCCTGTCCGTTTTCCTCTCTTCTTCCTAGAATTTTATTTGCAGGCTGGGCATGTATTCTTAGCTCTGTTTTGAAACTGAAGCTCAGAAAGGTTGTGTCTCCCCATCCTGCCCCTAAAGGCCCTGTGAAGTGGACAGGGCAGGAGTGCCACCTTAATTGCAACAAGTGCAGAAATTAAAGCTCAGACAAATTGTGGTTTCTTCCAAAACCTGGTGGACGGCTTAAGGAAAACGTCTTTATCTCGCTTTTATAGATTATGACTCTGGGGTTTAACGAAGAGTTTTAAGTGACTCACTCAAGTTCAGCCAGCTTATGACACAGCTGGAACTCCAACTGGGTGTCCTAATTTCCTTCCCAAGTTATTCCAGTTAGACCAGCTACTACCACATGAAGAAGCAGGTGGCTGGCTTTGAAGCCTTGTCCAAGTCACAGGTTCTCCTCTCTTCATGGCCTAACATCCAGATCCGGCCCTTTTTAAAATATGTCTGTGAATATTCAGATAACGTGCTTAGAATGTATTCACTAATTTTATTGTCTCAGAAGTGATCAGGATATTCAAACCACAGTTAAGGAAACACAGTTCTTAGGGTCTTTCAGTAGAGTAGGAGGTAGAAATTGTAGAACAGGGAAGATTCGGGGCCTGTAGATCCTTTAAAAAGCCTTGAAAGACAATTTCTAAAATAAAGTACCAAATCTACTAAGCAATCTGGATTTTCTTTGGGGGCATAATGCATGCTGATGTTTGAGCCCCAGAATGTATTTATCAAATTTTGATTCTAAGGAGAAAAATTAAAGTATTAGGCAATACCATGAGAAAATGTTTTTCACGCAAGGATCAGTTAAATAAAATCTTTTGAGGTAAAGATCATTTGTGTTAAGTTCTGAGCAAGCTACCTCAGGTTCAAAATCAGGAGATGTGGTACTCAAAAATTCTAAATTTGGATCTGGGCTTCTAGGTTGTTATAGGTATGTTTGCTGTAAGTTAGGTGTGTCAAGGTAGTTGGATAAAACTTTTTAATCTAACAGTTGGTTAGCTTGATTTATAATCTTTAAATATTGAAACATATGGTGTGTGAACCTCTTCTTGTACTATGGGTCATCAAGTTGTTAGGGACAGGCTTGCTGCTACTAGCCAACATTTTTCTGAAGTTCTAACTGAACCAGCAAGGCCAAACAAAATAAAACATTAAGTATGTATATTGGAAAGAACATTAAAAAAAATTCTTTTAGGGTATTATGATTGATTGCTTTCTTGGAAAATCCATGGAACAAATTGAAACTAATTCAAATAAGGTGGCTAGAAAATACCTCTCCTAAACAACAATCATCAATTTTAAAATGTAGTGGGAAGACGACTAGGTGTGATGGCTCATGCCTATAATCCCAGCACTTTGGGAGGCCGATGAGGGAGAACTGCTTGAGGCTAGAAATTCAAGACCAACCTGGGCAACATAGTGAGACCCCATTTCTTAAAAAAAAAAATTAAAGGTAGCTGGGTATGGTGGCATGTGCCTATAGTCCCGGCTACTCAGGAGGCTGAGGCAGGAGGATCACTTGAGCCCAGGCATTTGAGGCTGCAATGAGCTATGATCCCACCACTGCACTCCAGCCTGGACAAAAGACTGACATCCTGTCTCTGAAAACAACAACAACAACAACAACAACAACAACAACAAAATTAAAGTGTAGTGGGAGAAAGATTACTTTCAAAAATAATGAATATCAAGTTTGTGTTTATAAGGAATTATGAGACCTATTTGAAAAATTGAGAATAATAGCTAGATGAGGGATAGGGGTGGAAGGAAGGATCACAAAGGGGCATGAGGAAACTTTGGGAGTTATAGAAATGTTCATTATCTTGATTGTGGTAGTAGTTGTATGGATGTATATATATGTCAAAAGTTACCAAATTGTATACTGTAATATGTATAAGTGCTTACTGTAGGGAAGAGGGAAGAAGTAGCTTTTTATTTGATTGTATGTGTTGTGTAAAGCACTTGGTTAGGCACTTTACATGCAATATGTTATTTAATACTAATGGCACCCCACAAAGTAGGCATTACAATCACCCCCATTGTACAAACTAGGAAATTGAGGCTTAGAGAGTAACTTGACCAAGGTCCAAGTCTCATATACTACATAACAGGAGTATGACTCAAATCTTACCTAACAATAATATTTATACTTTAACTTGATTTCCATATTTTCATAAAGGATACAATTGAAGACTTGAATATATATAAAAAAAATACTCAATATTGTAAAGTTGTTCATTTCCACCAAACTAATTTAAAAATTTATCAAAATCTCATTATGATTTTCTTCCTTCCTTCCCTTCTTTCTTTCTTCCTTTCTTTCTTTCTCTCTCCCTTCCTTCCCCTTCCCTCCCTTCCCCTTCCCTCCCCTCCCTTCCCCTCCCTTCCTTTCCTTTCCCCTCCTTCCCTCCCTCCGTCCCTCCCTCTCCCTCTCTCTCTTTCTTTCTTTCTTTCATTCATTTATTTTTGAGACAGGGACCTGCTTTATCACTCAGACTAGAGTACAATGGGGTTGATCATGGTTCACTGCAGTCTTGACCTCCTCCCTCCTCAGCCTCCCAAGTAGCTGGAACCACAGGTATATGCCACTACACTGGGCTGATTTTTAAATTTTTTTTTCTGGAAATTGGGACTCCCTTTGTTGCCCAGTCTAATCCCCAATTCCTGAACTCAAAACAATCCTCCTACCACAGCCTCCCAAAGTGCTAAGATTATAGGCGCGTACCACCACACCAGGCCCTCTTTATGATTTCTATAATAAAATATTTTTTAAAATCCAAATTGATTTTGCAACTATTTCTCTTTCTTCTTAGAATGCCATTTTTTGCTTGCTTTTCCCCATACCTTTCCCCTACCCCAAAGTAAAGAAATAACTATTTTGTTGGACTCAAAAATCATCTCATCTAGGAAGCTTCCCCCACTGATATGGTTTGACTCTGTGTCCCCACCCAAATCTCATCATAAATTACACTCCCATAATTTCTACATGTTGTGTGGGGCACTTGACGGGAGATAATTTGATTGATAGGGCAGTTTCCCCCATAGTATTCTTGTGGTAGTGAATAGGTCTCATGAGATTTGATGGTTGTATCCACTTTTGCATCTTCCTCATTTTCTCTTGCCACTGGCATGCCAGAAGTGCTGTTCACCTCCCACCATGATTCTGAGGTCTCCCCAGCCATGTGGAACTATAAGTCCACTTAAACCTCTTCTTCCCTGTCTCGGGTATGTCTTTATCAGCAGCATGAAAATGGACTAATGCAATAAATTGGTACCAGTAGAGTGGGGTGTTGCTGAAAAGATGCCCAAAAATGTGGAAGTGGCTTTGGAACTGGGTATCAGGCAGAGGCTGGAACAGTTTGGAGGGCTCAGAAGAAGACAGGAAAATGTGAAAAAGTTTGGAGCCTCCTATAGGCTTCACTTGACCTTCTTTGTCTCTTTTTGTAGTTTTTGTTTTGAAGTCTTTTGTCTGATAAACATATAGCTGCTCCTGCTTATAATCCCAGCACTTTGGGAGGCTGAGGTGGGTGGATCGCTTGAGGTCAGAAGTTCAAGACCAGCCTGGCCAACATGGTGAAACCCTGTCTCTACTGAAAATGCAAAAATTAGCCAGGCACAGTGGCACATGCCTATAATCCCAGCTATTCAGGAGGCTGAGTGGGAGAATTGCTTGACCCAGTGGGGCAGAGGTTGCAATAAACAGATCATGCCACTGCACTATAGCCTGGCATAGTCTTGCCTGGGCAACAGAGCAAGACTCCATCTCAAAAAAATATGTAGATAGATAGGTAGATAGGTATATAGATATATATATATATGGTTGCTCCTGCTCTGTTTTTTTTTTTTTCTGTTTTGTTGTTGTTGTTGTTGTTGTTGCTTGTTTGTTTCAGTTGGCATGGAATATTTTTTCCATATCTTTGTTTTCAGTCCCTGTATCTTTACAGGTAAAGTGTGTTTCTTGTAGACAACAGATCATTGGATCTTTTTAAATTAGTTCAATTACTCTATGACTTTTTTATTTAGTCCATTTATATCAAATGTTACTATCGATAAGTAAGGACATACTTCTGCCATTTTATAATTTGTTTCCTGGTTGTTTTATGGTCTTCCCTCCCTGCCTGTCTGCTTTGCCTGCTTTCTTCCCTTCCCTTGTTCCCTCCCTCCCTCTCTTCCTTCCTTCCTTCCTTTTTGTAAAGATTATTTTCTCTGGTGGTATGTTTTAATTTCGTGCTTTTTACTTTTTGTGTATCTGCTGTAGGTTTTTAAATTTGAAGTTCTCATGAGGCTTAGAAATAACAACTTATAACCCATTATTTTAAACTGATGACAACACTGGTTGTAAAAATAATAAGCAAAGAGAAGAGTAATAAAAACTCTACACTTCACTTTACACTTTAACTGCTTGCTTTTTAACTTTTTGTTGTTCTTATTTATATTTTATTATACTGTGTGTGTTTTGAAAAGTTGTTGTAATTATTATTTTTGATAGGTTCCTATTTTAGTATTTCTGCTCAAGATATGAGTAACTTCCATCCCACAATTACAGTGTTGTTATTCTATGTTTGGCTGGGCACAGTGGCTCATGCCTATAACCCCAGCACTTTGGGAGGCCAAGGCAGTCTTGGCCATGTTAAGTAGGCAGTCTCAACAGCTTGAGCCCAGGTGTTTGAGACTAGCCTGGGCAACATGGCAAGACCCTGTCTCTACAAAAATTTTTTAAATAAATAAGCCAGGCATGGTGGCATGGGCCTGTGGTCCCAGCCACTTGGAAGGCTGAGGTGGGAGGATCACCTGAGCCCAGGAGTTGAGGATGCAGTGAGCTATGTTATTAATAGTACCACTGTACTCCAGGCTGGGTGGACAACAAAGCCAGACCCTGCCTTAAGAAAAAAAGTCTGTTTTTGTCTGTTTACTTATTATTACCAGTGAGTTTTTTACCTTCAGATCACTTCTTACTGCTTGTTAACATCCTTTTCTTTCAGATTGAAGAACTCCTTTTAGCATTTCTTGTAGGACAGGTTTGGTGTTGATGAAATCCTTCAGCTTTTGTTTGTCTGGGAAGGTCTCTATTTATTCTTCATGGTTGAAGGATATTTTTCCTGGATATACTATTCTAGGATAAAAGTTTTTTCTTCAGCCCTTTAAATATGTCATGCCACTCTGTCATGCCATATGCACTGCCATGTCAAACCTGTAAGGTTTCCACTGAGAAATCTGCTGCCAGACATATTGGAGCTCTTTTTTATGTTATTTGGTTCTTTTCTTTTACTGCTTTTAAGGTTCTCTCCTTCCTTCACCTTTGAGAGTTTGATTATTAAATGCCTTGAAGTAGTATTCTTTGGGTTAAATCTGCTTGGTTTTCTATAATCTTCTTGTGCTTAAATGCTGACAGCTTTCTCTAGGTTTGGAATGTTCTCTGTTATTATCTTTTTAAATAAATTTTCTACCCCAGTCTCTCTCTAGCTTCTCTTTAAAGGCAGTAACTCTTAGATTTGCCCTTTTGAGGCCATTTTCTAGATCTCATAGGCATGCTTTATTCTTTTTTATTCTTTTTTCTTTTGTCTCCTGTGACTATATTTTCAAGTAGCTTGTCTTCAGGCTCACTAATTCTTTCTTCTGATTGATCAATTCTGTTGTTGAGAGACTCTGATTCCTTCTTCAGTATGTCAGTTGAATTTTTTAGCTCCAGAATTTATCTCCAGAATGGTTTTTAAACATTATTTCAATCTCTTTATTAAATTTATCTGATATGATTCTGAATTCCTTCTTTATATGTGTATGTTATCTTGAATTTCGTTGTTCTTCCTCAAAACAGCTATTTCGAATTCTCTGTCTGAATGTTCACGTAATTCTGTCACTCCAGGATTTGTCATTGGTGGCTTATTTATGTTGTTTAGTGAGGTCATGTTTTCCTTGATGGTCTCGATGCTTGTGGATATTCAGCAATGCCTGGGCATTGAAGAGTTAAATGTTTGTTGTAGTCTTTGCAGCCTGAACTTGTTTGTACCTATCCTTCTCAGGAAGGATTTCTGAGTATTCAGAGGGAATTGAGTGTTGTGATCTAAGTCTCTGTTCATTGCAAGTATATCTGGATTAGTGGTTACTCTAAGCCCAGTAATGCTGTGATTCTTGGAGACTTGTAGATATACTGCTTTGATGGTCTTGGGTAAGATCCGAGAGAATTCTCTGGATTACCAGGCAGAGACTCTTGTTCTCTTCATAAATCAAGTCTCTCTATGATGAACTGCCTGGATCTAGGGGAGGAGTGACACAAGCACCCTCATGACCACCACCACTGGGACTGTGCTGGGTCATACGTGTAGCCAGCACAGCTCTAGGTCTCGCCCAAGGCCTGTAGCAGCCACTGCCTGGCTCCTGCATGTGTTTCCTCAGGGCTCAAGGGCTCTTCAGTCAGCAGGTGGCAAATCCAGCCAGGCCTGTGTCCTTCCTCTCAGGACTGTAAGCTCCCCTCAGCCCAGGGCAGGTCCACAAATGCTATCTGGGAGCCAGAGCCTGGAGTTGGGAACCTTAGGCAGCTCCTTAGTGCTTTATTCTACTGTGGCTGAGCTAGCACCTAAGCCACAAGATGAAGTCCTTTCCACTCTTACCTTTCCTTTCCTCAAGCAGAAAGAGTTTTTCCCTGTGGCCACCACTGCCCCAGGCCTATGGCAAGTACTGCCTGGTTTACACAAGTCCCAAGGGCTCTTCAGTCAGCTTGCAGTGAATGCTGTCAGGCCTGGGTCTCTCTTTAGGGCAATGTGCTCCGCTCTGGCCCAGGGTTAGTCTAAATGCCATCCAGAAGCCAAAGCCTGGAATCAGAGACCCCAGGAGCCTACTTGGTGCTTTATCCCACTGTGGCCAAGCTGGTACTCAAGCTGCAAGGCTTACTCTTCCCTCTCTTTTGTTAAACCAAAGGAGTCTCTCTTCATAGCCACTACAGCTGGGAAGGTGCTGGGTCACACCTGAAGCTAGCACAGCATTCAGTCTCACCCAAGTCCTGTGAGAGTACCGCCTTGCTGCTGGTGGTGTTTATTCAAGGCCCAGGTGCTCTTTAGTTAGCAAGTGATGAATCCTGCCAGAACTGTGTCCTTCTCTTCAAGGCAAAGGGTCCCTTTCTGGCTCATGGTGTGTCTGGAAATGTTGTTCAGGAACTAGGACTGGTTTGGGGGCCTCAGGACTCTTCCTGGTACCCTGTTCTACTGTGGCTGAGATGGTATTCAAGTTGCAAGACAGAGCCTTCTTTACTCTTCCGTCTTCTCTCGTCAAGTGGAAGGAAGGAGTCTCTTTTGGAGCTGCAAGCTGTGCTGCCCAGGCTTGAGGGAGTTTTGACACAAGCACTCCCTTGGCCACCCCAGCTAAGGTCTCACTAGGTCATGTGTACCCCAGGTCCACTGGCTCTGAGTCCAGCACAGTACCAGGACTTTCCCAGGAAATGCAGTCCTTGTTGCTTAGACTGCCTTTCAAGTTTACTTAGAGTACTAGAGCACTTTAGCCCACGGTTGTGTGGCTTAGTGCCTTTCAAGTTTACTTAGGGTCCTAAAGCACTTTAGCCCATGGTTGTGTGGCTTGCTGGAACTCAGGTTCTGACCTTTGGGATGGGTGAATCCCCTCTGGCTAATGCTGGTCTAAATGGTGCTCTGTGAGTGTCAGCTGAATTATTTCTTGCGTTGCTTTCCACTGTGACAGTACTGAGTTCCAGTGCAAAGTCTCACAATCACTGTGCTTTTCCTCCCCCAGGGATACAAATTCTCTCTTCTCACCACATGGCTGCTGCTGGAGAATGAAGGTGGGGTGGTGTCAGCAATTCAAGACTGTCTTTCCTACCCTCTTCAGTGCCCAACCTTGTTAAGTTGTTTAAACCAGGTACTGTGATCACTCACCTGATTTTTGCTTCTTATAAAGGGTCTTTCTTGTTTGGATAGTTTTTCAATTTGCTATTCCTGGCAGAGGGATGTTCACTGGAGGTGTCTATTCAGCCATCTGGCCCCACCTCCCTCCAATCTATCCCTCATTTTTAATTGTTTTAACTAGCTCAAATGAACTTCTACTACTTTCTTTTTTTCTTTTTTTTCTCTTGAACTTCCACTACTTTCACTAATTCTAACTATTGTAGACACAAAGTTCCATGTTTCTACTATCTTATGATATCAGTTTAAACATATATATAATGAATCCACTGACTTTAGTACTTAAACCTCACTGTCTGCCTTATTGTCCTCTGCCGCCACACACACCATCACCAAATAGTCTGTTCATATATATATATATAGTAAGGTTAAAGAGGCTGTATCTCAAACCCAAAGGAGTAAACGCTGCAGATAATCAGGAATGCTAGGATTTTCCACTTATCTCTCATTCACTACATAGGAATTTCATAATCATTTTATATATGGAGTGGCTTAAATGCCCAGACATGTGCTTATAAATTTCATTCCCTTTTTTCCCCTCCCTCTCTGTTCTTTAGATTATCTAGTTTAGTTATTCTCACAACTTAGTGTGCCTAAAAATTATCGTATAAAATAGAATTTATAAAGTCATGCTTAATGAACCTTATGGACAATTTAAAGAATTTTCAAGGATAATTTTGACTATGTAATTTTTGCTTTGTTCATTGACTTTAGTTACTCTTATTTACATCCCTTACCAACCTAACTCCTCCTCAAAAATGGAACTTTGTATATGCTTACAATGAGAACACAGTAAACAAACAGCATTAAAATTATATTAAATGTTAATTTTACTTTAGCAGTTTTAGGTTTTGTAGTATCTTAGTTTTTTACTTTAGCACCTTGGGTTTTGTAGTATCTTAGTTATTATTATGAATGTCAATTAATATCACATGACAGATGTACAAACATGCAAGTTAATAGAAATTCCACATGGGCCCAACCTTGCTTCCTAACTTTATTTCCAATTACTCTCCATCACACATCTTTAGTTCTAACCAAATTGAAATTCTCAGTGTTTTTTAATCCCAATCCTTTCCCCACCCTGTGCCTCCCACCTGGGATATTCTCTCCAATTGCTCTTTCCTCTATGCATGTCCAGATCCTACTGATCTTTCCATGTTCATACCAAATGTGGCCTTTCCTAATATATCTAGGTTTAATGCCTCCTTCCTCCAAATGACTACCTTATAATGTAAATTTTCTGGGGTTTTTTGATCCATTAGTCTACATTTTAGTACAGTAATTTGGTATGTGTTCTGTTGCCCCTCCCATGCTTTAAACCTTTCAGCTCTCTGTTTAAAGTAATAACAGTAATATATAGTTGGTGATGATAGCATATGGGTAAGTCAAATGAATGGCATAAATGCTGTAAGAGATGGGAGGGAGGAATTGGGAATAAGGTAACTGCACTACCTCTAGAGTGGCATTGTGTTACTTGAAAGTAGACTTAGATCAGTTGTGAATGTATATTGGAAACTCTAAGGCAACTGCTTAAAAAAAATTCAAAAGAAAATGTAATTGATAAGCCAAAGAAGAGAGAAAACAAAGGGGAACAAAAAGAAACAAAGAACAAGTGCAATGAGTAAAAAACACTGGGAACATGTTGGTATTAAACCAAATACATCAATAGCCACTTTGTCAGTGTGATTGTCAGACAATAAAAAACAAGACCCATATGTTGTCTACAAGAAACTCACTCTATAAAGACAAAAGTAGGTTAAAAGTAATGGGATAGAGGAAGAGATACAATGCTGTATTCATTTCCTAGGGCTACCATAAGAAAGCTCTAGAAATTAGGTGGCTTAAACAAGGGAAATTTATGTTCTCACAATCTGGAGGTTAGAAATCTGAGATCAAGGTGTTGGCA